GTGAGTGTGTGTGTGATTGTTTGTCCTGTGTGTCTCTCTCTGTGTTGCCCTGCGATGGACTGGCTCTCTGTCCAGGGTGGACCCCGCCTGATTGCCCATTGACCACTGGAGATAGCCCCCCCCCCCCCCCCCCCCCCCCCCACACACACACACACACACACATCCCCACCCCCCACCCCCACCCCCTCCCAACCCGCGACCCACGTGGACAAAGCGAGTTCAGACAATGGATGGATGGTTAATATATGTATATATAAAAGACTCCACATCTGCATTAATGAAGGATCAGGTTCTAAAGACAGTTGATTCCTGTTAAAAAAAAGACTGATAGATTGATTTCAACATTAATGCTAAGGAAAAGGAAAAGGAAAGGAAAGGAAACCCTGGAAGTGAAGGTTGGATGTTAAAGTAGTTTTTCCATTTGGTCTAAAACACTTCCTCAATCCTTCAGTGATTCGAGGGCATAACACAGCTTACTTTAAACTATCCATCAGAGGCATAAACTCATGATCCTTCTCATCTCTGTTCTTCAAATCAATATCACTTCTTGGGATCTAGAGACAGAGAGGCTCCTGTTTGATGATAGTATCTCAGTAAACCTGGAATGAGGCGCTGTTGCATCCCATTTCCTGCTTTGCCTCAATCAGATCTGAAATGAAAAGCATTTTTCTCTTAGGGTTTAGGTGAAACGTGCATTATGTTCTTTTTGAACACGATGTATTTTAAAAGGTTAGGTTGTGTACACAGTAGTAGCAATAAGAAGATTATATATTTAACTGTGTTTAATTTATGGCATTTTCCTACCTACAAATAAACTGGTTATGAATTCTGCTAAGAGCAGTGCACCATAGATATGAGCCTCGGGACGTTTTTTATTTTTATCTGATGCTCTGTACATTTTATAAATAGTGCAGTCTTTTTTGTTAGATTGCTGATTACATGACATTTTCTCCTTAAAAATGCAAATCTGCAAAACAAGCTAGCTTTTAAAGTCATAGAACTCTCACCCCTCTAGTCGACAATCATTCCTGGGCCATGACCCCTGATACTGGAACCTGCACTAGTAAGTGGGATAGCGCCAAACACCAGTTGCCGTTTTCTAGTTCCAAAAGTCTTCTGTTTTCCATAACTTCACAATGGCGACTTTTTAGGACTCTGGTAGTTTGCCCTAAAGTTGAAGCGGTAGCAGCCGGTTGTTTCTTCTTCTTCTTTGACATTATTGAGCGTAGAACCTCTCACACCAGTGGTGTTCTTTTACAAAATGCATGAGTGTGCAATGAGTGGAGAAGTGTGATGGTTCCGTGAGATAGACAACCAAATGGTCCAATCGTTGTTTGTTTATTGAGGCTTTTAGACAAATGTGACAGGACAACTTCATACATTTTTAAAAAAATATCCACTGTATCTTTATAGCTATACAATGCTAGAGAAGTGGTTCCCAATTTGGAGGTTGGGACCCCCAAGGGGTTCCTCACAAAATTGCACAATTTTAATTGCTGAGGTTGTGAAGTTAAAAAGATTTTATTTGTAAAAATTACATTTAAAAAATCTAAATAACAAAATCTAAATAACAATACCTAACAGCCGGGGTATTCAATTCTGGTCCTGGAGCATGTTTTAGTGGTTTCTCTACTCCAACACACCTGATTCAGTGGTTGAATCACCTGTGCAGCAGCTCATCGGGCTCTGCAGAAGCATGTTAATCACCTGTTGATTGAAATCAGGCGTGTTGAAAGAGTTAAAACTAAAACGTGCTGGATCCCTCCAGGACGGGAATTGAATACCCCTGCCCTACAGTATAATCAGACCTCCATATAAAACTTATACCTCTGAATGTCTGTTTAAATTTTGTAAATGATCGCATTTAATGTGTGTATTCATGGAGCTGGGGTTGGGGGTCCTGGCTTGTCTTAGACATGAGCAAAGGGGGGTCCTTAAAAACCGGTGCTAGAACATTAAGAGACATGAAAAAAATGTTTTAAGCTCATTTGATTTGCAGATTTAATTTTCAAAGTGTTATTTTCCACACTGGTTTCCTACATCCTACATTTTCATGTATTTTTCTTTATATGCTTCCTTCTTCATGCTTTCACACAGATTTACACATTTTAAATTCTGTTTGTTGATTTTTTTTTTACTTTCATCAGCCTTTGTTCATAATAATCACTGACAGATGCCTCTAAAGCTTTGATGTACTCAATATAATACCTGTGACAATGATTTGTGGATACATATTTTATCTGTTCACATTAATCATTTGGGTTAACATCTTGATGATGGTTTAAATGCCAACTTTTAACCACAATTTTAACCCCATGCTCTTTTATTGGCTTAAATTGTGATTAAAGTATTTTTTGGCACCTAATTCAAAGTTACAATAGTTGATGTCTTGTAACCAAAATAATGGATAATGCCAATTGGCTTTTTACATATTATGTTTCAAGAGTTGACAACATTAACAGGCTGCATGATGAGTACTATAATTTCTCATGTATATGTGTAATTGTTATTTCTAATACGCTGGGCACTCGTCGGCCACTTTATTAGGTACACTTGTTTGGACAGTCTTACAAAATCTTCATTTTATTTTTTGCAAATGATTCAATAAGTTACTGGAAAGAGATTTTGCTCCATAGTAACATGGTAGCCTTAAACATTTGCCACATATTTATCAGCGGCACATCTATTATGCTGATCGCCTGTTTCACCACAGTTCAAAGATTCCGGATTGAGATTTGGTTATGGTGGAAGTCCTGTGAACTCATTGCCATTTTAACGTAATCAGTTTGAGATGGTTTGAACTACATCCTGACCCTCGTTTGAATTTTAATAAGTTATCTTCACCATGTCAAAATGATTAAATGGGTTGAGTTGCTGCTTTGTGACTGGCTGATAAGGTATTTGTGTTAACAAGCAATTGAGCAGGTACACCTTATAATGATGCCAGTGTGTGTCAAGTCAATTTAATAAGGAGGAGATAATCAACCACTTTGAATCATACATTTAGATAAACCACTTAAAGACCGAGTTCACTTTTTTTTCTTGATACATTTGCAGTGATCTCTACTATAAATCAATGCCTTTTTAGTCAGTCTATGTGGGGGGAAAAACTCTGGCGCTCCTACTTCAGGAACTAGAAGTGAGCAGAGGTGAGCTAAAGACAGTAGTATTTGGATTCTTATTTCCTGATATTTGGACATCTTGGCTCTGATTGGCTAACAGCAACATGACTACCAGTAACTCCATCTGCTTTGCAATGGTGTTTTATCTTCACAAACAACACAAGCTTGAAAGAGTTCTGCCGTGTTGTGGAGTTGTTAATGCTAATGTTAGCTTCTACTAGCCAAGACGTGCTCTGCTCTCTCCTGGAGGGGAGGGGGTTTGTTGGGAGCAACGTGTTCCTCCAGTGTCCGTGAGGGCGCACAGAGGGTGGGTAGCATTCCACCGACGCCTGTCACAGTGGTGGTCAGGGGATGATTGGCTGATTTCGGGGGGGGGGGGGGGGGGGGGGGGTTGTCGTTACTGAAAGACAAG